AGAGAATAAGCGGAGTCTGGGGAGTGGAAAACGGGAAACCGCATTCCGGAGCGAGGCGGCCATGGGAGGAGGGGGGACTCTGGTACTTTTGGGCGATTAGGCCTTTGGCGGGTCATTTTAGCCTTGCCGGATTGATTCTTCGGCAAGCCAACATATATTTTCATTTTAGGCGTTTGGGCCTTTGGCGGGTCATTTGATACATTTAACAAAATGTAAATATTTTCATTTAGGATTGGTAAGCTTTTCGATTAACATTAGTATTTTGAAGAAAAAATTTAACGATGTGTATTAGTTATGAAAATGTTAATGCTTAAAGGTTATCGTTAGATTTGTTTGGTATGACGTAAGAAGTTAGCGTTGGTGTTTGAAAAAAACTATCGATAGGCAGCATTTAGCATTAGAGTTTACAAATTTAATCTACATTATTAAAATTTTGTCCAAAACACTAACAATTATTGAGAACGTTATTTCCAAATGGACCCGTTAGACAATTTTTTCAAAATGATAACACTAGATTATAATGTTGTTGTCATTATCGTAGTATATATAGTCGCTCTTACTGTATGTTATGGTCTCACTTCCGTCTTGTGATAATCTTTTTTTCTCTTTTTTATATTAAAAAAGTCCTACATTTATTTCTTTTTAAAAAAGTAAACATGAGATGCAAACATTTTTCTCTCATTTAAACAAATGCACACCAGATATTTATTTTTCAATTTTTAAGCACTTTTCTTAATTTTGGTAAAGGTTACATTCTGAAGATTTTTATATATGGGATACATAGGGTGAACTTGAGATAATTCTTAGAGCTTATTTGACCAATATCTTTGTGATATGGTAAATGTCCACTGTTCCCTCCTAGTTTTGACATTCATATACTAATGTTTCTCATGACTAAAATATCATTCAAATTTTAAGCAAATAGCTCTGATGCGCTTTGTGATTATGAAAATCAGCATTGCTTCATTGTTTCTAGGGGTGAGCATGGCACAGTATTTAGCTCGTACCGATACCGTACCAAATATTTCGGTTCGGTATGAGATTTTACTCCGTACCGATCCCGATCCCGAAATATGGGTTCGGTATGGTTCGGGATGGTTCGGTATCAGTTTCGCTACAAATCGAGATGAATATACATACCTACTTACACATTAAAATTTAATAATGCCTCTTTATTTTTGAAAATTAAAAGTGAATTTTAATAAAAATAACATGAAAAATTAAAAAAAATGAATATTTAAATGCAAGAGATGCATATCAAAACTTAGTTTATATTTCACAAACTAAAAAAATGAACGACAACAAAGGAGTATTTCGAATCTTTGTGAACACTTTTATGTTCATACACAAAAACTCAAATAAAAGTATAATTTACACATAATAGAACTTGAACCGATGTTTTTTTAAAAAAATTATTATCTAGTGAAGGAATATAAAAATATTACTCCGGGGTATTATTTTTTACTCCCTCCGTCCTGAAATGTTCTTCCCTCTTACTATTCACACGGTCAAACTTTAATCACTTACTTTACCTATTTTCATTAGGTATTTGATAAAATAATATATTCTTGTCACCACTTATTTTGTAGAACTTTTGATGTATTTTTTAAATATATAAATTTTATTTTTTAATTTTACACCTACAATAAAATAAATTGAATTAAATCGGTCAAACTTCGTAAACATAACCGGAAAGAACATTATAGGACGGAGGGAGTATAATATTTTAGTATATATGTTCGGTTCGGGATTTTCGGTATGAGACGTCACCTCGTACCGTTCCCAAATACCGTACCGACCATTCGGTTCGGTACGGTTCAGTTCCTTCTCGGTACTTTTTCGGTTCGGTATTTTTCGGTTCGGCATTCTCGGTTTTTTCGGGAAATTTCGATATCGGGTGGGTACTTGCTCACCCCTAATTGTTTCTCTTCTTACATCTCTTTTTCCATATCCTTTTAATACTATTTTATACTCCCTCTGTCCACCATAGATCTTCCCAGTCACTATTCACAGAATCAAACTTTACTCACTTTGTTTACTCAATTTTACTAGTCATTTCATAAAATAATATATTCTTGTCACTTCTAGTTTTGTAGAACTTTTCATGTAGTTTATTACTATATAAATTTTATTTTAAAATTTTACTCCTAGAATCAATTAAATTGAATTGAAAATAAAGTCGGTCAAGCTTCGTAACGCGTAATGAGAAGATCATACATGGACGGAGGGAGTAATGTTTTTAAAATAAAAATATTTTGTGTCTGAAATAAAAAGAATTAGGTCCTGCATGATGAGTTAAAACGAAATTTATTTGGAGAGATTTAAATCATGATTTAATTAGTGATAAGTGACGGTGACCAACAACGGGGTTGTTGACAGTGACAATGGCAGCTGGTGATAGAGAAAATGATCAACGATTGACAAGGATATCAAATTATCATATTTGTTTAATTTTATTTCTCAAATTCGAGAGATATTGAAACCCTTCATTTGAATGATTTATGATATCCGGATATACCAAATTCGGTATTTTTTTTTTGCTTCACTAAACACCCAAAAATTAAAGAACTTTAATATCTGGAGATATATCAAAACTTATATTTTATTTGCTCACCAAACACATCCTTCATGTAAACTTCATTTGCCACAATTAAATATTCCACTAGGACCATGTTAGGGTGCCACCACATGGGTGCTACTATGGGTGCACTCATGCTTCGCACAGACAAACACAAACGATAATTGTCTGTGTTTGTTTGTGCGAAGCATGGGTGCACCCATGGTAGCACCCATGTGGTGGTACCCTATCATTTTCCTTTCCACTATTGTCCAAAAAAGGTAGTCTTTTTAATCATTTTGGGTGAAAAAGATACCGGGTAAAGTCAGTAAGGGCTTTTTAGACTATTCTCAACAAATTTCCTTCATAAAATTCATTTTTCCATTTTCTATAAAAATATGTCTTTGTATCGTTTTCTTTTATTCGTTTCCTTTATTTTTTTTATTTTGATTTCTTATATTATTTTCTATTTCTCATTTTCTTTTTTTCTTAGAATCTCATTTCCCATTCTTAGTTCGTTTTCTGTTTTCTGTTTAAATTCTTTTTTGTATTTTTTCTTGTTGTTTTCTCATACTATGTATATATTTTTCAATTCCTTTTTTAAAACTATTTTATTTTTTAAAAAATTTAAATTAAAATTAGAATGAAAGAAAATAAAGAAAACTAAAAAATATTTCTATAGAAAAAGAAACATGAAATCATGAAGGAAATCTCTTCGACATTGGTATTTAAAATGGAGCAATACTAAGTTCACAAACAGAAAGCTAACAAACTTCACAAACTTATCATCTATGTTTTAAATTCTCATTTTAAAATTATTTTAAACTATTTAAATTTTTTTGTTGAAATTCACAAATAGTAAGTTTGTGAAGTTTGTAACCATTATGTTTGTGAACCAAAAATTTCCTAAAAAATACCTTACTCTGTATTCTTTAGGCCTAATTCATTTTTTATTTCATTTTTATTTCCAACACATTTTAAAACATTATAAAAAAGTAATAAAAAACTTTAAAATATTTAAGAAAATAGAGAAGAATAAATAGAATCAATAAGGAGGGGAACAATGAAAGTTTGGTTCCCATTTTCAAATCACGTGGAGCACAAGAGTTATTCACTTAAAATTTGAAGACTTTTTAGTCAAGAACGACATTGACGTAGTAATATATATATATATATATATATATATATATGGCCGATTCACATGAAAATGCACCTTGGTGAAAGAAATAAGAATAAAATCTATCATTTGGATGTGATGCATCGTGCGACAGCTCAGATTGCATCCCGCGCTCAAAATTTAAAATAGTGCATTTTCAAAGGATTTTGGTGGATTTTGACATGACGCATTTTTAAACCATTTTAGTGCACCTAATTTTGATGCAATCCTAACCCTTAGATCTCACAATCTAAAACAGCAGATTTATTCTTATTTCTTTCATAATATCGCATTTTCACCAGTATGTATGTGTGTGTGTGTGTATAAATGTATATAAATTTAAGTTTTTTCACACAAATAAGAATGGTCAACAAGAATATTACACCCATCTTTTCAAAATGATTTACACCATTCAAATAATATTCAGAATTTTGTAATGTTTAAATAAACTTGCATATTATCAAAACTTTAATAAAATAAAAAATGATATTTTATTTCGTGAGTACGCCACTTTCTTCCTAACACCCATGGTAAACTCCTTCACCCAGGCTAATTTGGACCTACGACCCTCATCCCTTTCAATTTGGTCCCTCACATTTTTTTGACTTTTGTGTCAAAAAATTTGAGCCAAAAGTTAAATAAATTTGGGAGATAAAATTAAAGGAGTTACCATTCAAAGAAATTGTTGGGGTTGGGAATATTGGGATTGAAGTGTTGTGTGAGATTTTACAACTTTATCAATTGTCATATAAACTTTGAATCCACTTTCTAACAAAAAAAATTAAGCCAAAAACTAGTGCTTGATCTTTTTTTATATGGGGGTAGAACTTGTTTGATTTTTTCGCTGTGGGATAAACCCAAAATACAATTTCAATTAGGTTGAATGAGTCGAACCTAACTTAACTTTGATATCATGTTAAGATTTTTGGTGGGACTAGTGAATCAGTTCGAGTCTTCGGTGAGATTTGATTATTTTCTCATTTAAAGTCTAAATCCATTATCTAATCAAAAGTTTAAATCAATTTTCACTTTTCTTTATGTGATAGCAGAACTTATTTAATCGGTCTGCTTATTTTACTCCATTTTATTCATATCCTTGCGATTTTGGATAAACCTATTCGATCCGACCCACTCTACGCCGAAGGTGCAATTGAAGATTTGAAGGGGGGTGGGAATGAGTTTGAATCATTCCACGAGATTGATTCAAATGTAATGAGGCCGAAGAGAAGGGAAGAGTGATGACTGGCGATTGTAGAAACAGAGACAGGCAGTGTAGAAAGGCAAGGGGGCACGTGCATTGACTTGGGGGTCGTCCGTACCAAAACGGAGATGTTGTCCCGTTCGGGAGGAACTCATGACTTCCGGCCAGCGTTTTCGTTGAATCCGCCCTCCAAACACGCGCCCCCTCTTTCACTATTTCAACCCCGTCAAAGGCGCCCACGGTTTCCCAAATTCTCCGACCCCCCGAAATGCCTTATTCTTTCTGGAAACCGTTCTCCAATCACTCCCTCTCCCACTCCCCCCGCACCAGCTCCTCCGCAGCTTCCACTTCCCCCTCCGCATATGAGTCTCCCCGCGGTGGCAGCGACAGGCATCTTTTCAGCGGAGGCGGCGTCCGGCGGCTGACGCGGCAGCGGAGGCTGAGGCATGCGACGGATGACGAGCTCGGCTTGGGATTTGGGGTTATTTCTGATAAGCAGTCGTCGAGGTCCAAGTCTTTGCCGGTTTCTCCTGATTCCGGTTCGCGGCTGCCGCGGCACGGTGGCCACTCGTCCAAATCCGCCTTGCCTCAGCCGCTTCCCCTCCCCAAACTCTACAGTGAGAGCTTGGCAACCAAAGGCCAAGGGGAGGCGACTTCAACCTCTGCACCTCAAAGGTCCAATCTTTGTTTCTTTTCTTTCTTTCTTTCTTTCTTTCTTTATTTATAATGCACATGTACTGCAAGGATTCTTGAAAGCCAAAACTACCAAAGTCTGCATGATGAGCTTTATCTGTTTTCTTAAATTTGACCTAAAGCTGATAAAATTGTGGGGATGAAATTGAAGGGTTAGCGGTACAAAATGAACCACAGGTGCCCAAAATGTCAACGGTACCAAGTGTCACTAGAACTGTGCCGTTCTTTTGAAAATGAAAACCGAAGTTCATGTTTTTTGGGCTTTGGATTGATAATTTTGATCATTAAGGACATTTAAGGTCCTAAATTGCATGTTATCAACCTTTTTTTACGGTAGACTCCTTATAGAATCTTAAAAAGAAGATATTTTTATTGGTCTGACTCACATCAAAATTTGGAAATTTTGGGATGTTCATACCTTGTACTCTTATAACATTAAAGGCATCGCTTGCAAACTTAGAGCTTCAGACGTGCATGTCGGTTAGCATTTGCTGGTTTGAAAACCTTGAGATATAATGTTGAAGTTTTAACTTAAGAGTGATGTGTAGTTTCTTTATTGCTGTAATTCCTATAGGCATGGTCTTGGGAAGGAAGTAAACCCAGCAAGGAAAGAATCAGATCAAACTTATAGGCGTAGAGCTTTCTATCCAAACACGAATAAGGACAGCAGCCAAGAAGAGGGTTTCAGACTTCAGGTTCCGGCAAGGAGTGCTCCGGGCAGTGGGTTCACTAGTCCTGTTCACAGCCCAAAAAGGTTCAGCACAGTTGAACTTTTTAACCCTGCATTTCAGCATAATAAATCTTTCCCGGAGAATAACAATGTACATCCATTGCCCCTTCCACCCGGAGGAGGAGGAGTATCAAGGCCATTGCCGTCATTTTCCACTCATAGTAGTTATAGTTATAACCATACAGAAAGATCGGATACACCGCCTACAATGAAGGGTCTATGGCAAAAAAGGAAATTATTAGGGCGTGGCACGTATGGAACTGTTTATGTTGCAACTAATCGGTACCCATACCTTTCTTATTTTTTTTTAATTTCTTTTATTTTTGTTGAAATGTGTGCTTCTTCCTGAAAGAGAAACTTATTGAACTAACAGCGAAACTGGTGCTTTATGCGCTATGAAAGAAGTCGAGTATGCTCCTGATGACCCAAAAGCTTTGGAATGTATACAGCAGCTAGAGCAGGTTTTTCTTTAATCTGTGTGAGGTTATAGTATTTACCTAGCGACGTCTCTTTGATGCAATTATTTCATATCAATGCTTATAAACCATATTTCCCTTTGGAAAGTTAGAGGACGGAGATGGAAATGATTCACTTATATTAACTGTTTTATTCGTTTCTACTTTAGGAAATACAACTGCTTCGACAGTTGAAGCACCCCAATATTGTGCAGTATTATGGCAGTGAAACTGTGAGAGCATTCTCTTATCTTTACTTTCATTGAAAGCAACTATGCGTTTCTTTATGCATATACACTTAACCAATGAATTCGTTCATAAAATGTGGTTTAGGTTGACGATCGGTTTTGCATATATTTAGAGTACATTCATCCCGGTTCACTTAATAAATATCTCCGAGACTATGGAGGTGCGTTGCCCGAGTCTGTTGTTAGACATTTCACTCGTCATATTGTTTCAGGGATCGCTTACTTACACACCACGAAGACTATACACAGGTAGTTTAATTTTAGTCGTGATGCTTTTAATTATGCATAGTCAATGATTTTGATATGTTAACTTATAAGGGTATATTTTTCAAACAGGGACATAAAAGGGGCGAATTTGCTCGTAGATGCATCTGGTGTTGTCAAGCTCGCTGACTTTGGACTGGCAAAACATGTCAGCCCTGCAAAACCTTAAAATCTGCAAATTTGATTCCTTTTGGTGTGTGTGTGTGTGTGTGTTCAAACTGTTTCTATTATCTGATTTCAGCTTTCGGGACAAAGTATGGATTTATCATTGAAGGGCAGTCCCCATTGGATGGCCCCGGAAGTGATGCAGGCGGTGCTGAGGAAAGATGAGAATCCCGATATTGCCCTTGCAGTTGATATATGGGGATTGGGTTGTACTGTGATTGAGATGTTCACCGGACAACCTCCTTGGAGTGATCTTACCTGGGTAACATAAACTGCTCTCTCAAAACTCTTCGATTCGTTTCACTAGGATCATTGGCTTAATTAAAACATTGGTTCATTTTAAGACCGTTGGGTTTGATTATATTATCAGGTGCAAGCGATGTTCAGCGTATTGAACAAATCACCTCCCATACCGGAAACACTTTCTGCAGAAGGAAAGCATTTTCTTGGGTGTTGCCTTCAAAGAAAGCCAGCAGATAGGCCATCTGCAGCCATGCTACTTGACCATCCTTTCTTAAACATGCCCTCCTCTCCAAACAAACCTGTATGTAAGCAAAACATCATATGACCTTACAAAGATCATAGACTCTTAAATATGTCCAAATGTGGGTTCTCATCTTTGACTTGACTTTGCAGGACACGCCGCGCTCAGACACTTGACACAGGAGCGCAACATATATATAAGTAAATGCGTAGGAATCTGAAAAGACGATTAGGCCCTCTTGATTTGTATTTTTTTAACAATGACTTGGTGAGATGAAAGTCACAAACCATGCGTATTGTGTATGATAGTTTCATGTATATCGAGTGATTATGCCCCGGGGGCGAGTATTGTTGTTCCTATTTTTCTTCAAATAAAATTACTCTGTTTATGAGAATCTCTTACAATAAAAAACCTAAGGGTCCGTTTGGTACACGGAATTGACGGAATTGGAATTGAATTGGAATTATAATTCCATGAGATTCAATTCCATAGAATTGAATTCACCAATTCTAATTCATTTTTTGCACTATCAATTCCAAATCCACATAATTTTTGTGCTACCAAACGCTAGAATTGGAATTGAGGTTCTCAATTCCAATTCCATAGTTTGAATTCCGTGTACCAAACGGAGCCTAAAAGAAAAATGGAACTGACCATTGAGGTTAAAATGTCAATTAAAACCTTTAAATGAGTTTATTACTCCTTTATGTCAATCAGATTTGTAGGATGTTTACGTCAACAAAACGGTCACAAACATTTACTCATTATGTCTTTCGAAAAGATTCTACAACATAATATAAAAGTAAAATTATGTGATAAAAGTTTATGCAAATGAAAAAAAAGAAATAATACGATTTATAGGAAATTATTAAAAACTTCGGTATAAATTTTAATTTTGAGATGTTAAAAAAAAAGAAGAAATGTGAAACCGTTTTAATAACAAGGATTGGGATGCTTCTCTCGCAAACTTCATTCATGATGCTTTGGGTTTTGAATTGCAATAAATTCTATGCACTGCCTTTTCAACATAAAGTACTCCCTCATCTTATTCTTTAATAGGAGTAAAGCTGATGATTATTATTTTTTGAGTAGTGCTAGAGTCACAAACAAACAGTTCACAAAATTCATAAACTTGCTTTTTTAACACTTTCCTAGAAATAAGGTGCACTCAAATAATAAAAGATATTTTAATTTAAAATCCACAAAAGGCAAGTTTGTGAAGTTTGTCACTCTAGCATTTTCCTTTTTTTTCGGAAAATTAAGCCGCTGAAATTTAGAACACCAAAACTGAAATTTGAGAAATGAAGCCTGGAATCTAATTATCTAAATGTAAACTTATGAAATAAAATCTGAAAAATTACTCAGTATATTTTTCTGCCCTACCAAAACTTTTAGGATAAAATCAACACAATTATTTATAAGATTAAAATCTTATTTTTAAAAGTAGTGTTTAAAATATTACAGAAAAAGAGAGGAATAGTACTTCATCCGTTAGAAAAAGAATCTTAAAAATTACTATTTAAAAATTATGAGAACGTAATATTTATTTTAATGTTTTCATCGATAATTTGATAAAAAGAATATTCATATCACATCTTGTTTTGAAAAAAATTGACGTAACTTTTAAATATGTAAATTTTATTTTGTATTTCTATATCAATTTTTAAATAAAATAAATTTAAAAAAATTCTAATTTTGAGAGTTATGAAATAAATAAAATAAATTTAAAAAAGTTCTAATTTTGAGTATGAATTAGAGTTATTACCTTATTTATGGCATTCAAACCGAAAAAGCGCAATTCAATAAGGCGGGAATGTTTTGGTCGGAGAAGTGTGGAAGACCTGAAGTTGTAAACCAAACCAACAAGAACGCCGCCAGCGGCCAGCCTACAATTGTCCGCCGCGAATGTCCTCCGTAATGGGTGTCAAAATCTTTAAACTGTCGGAGCTTATCGGGCGTTCAACGCCGTTCGCCGGAGCATTTTCTCTCTTCAGCAGTCCTTCATCCTCTCTTTCACGGCCTACTCGGAATTCCGGAGCCGGAGGCGAACCTGACAAGGGCCCTCGCCGGGATGCCGCTATCCCTGACCAGAAAGTTCTGAAATCTCTAAGCGCTCCGGCACTTCTCACCGGAACCCTAACTCTACCCGCTAATAACGACGACCCGTCTTCTAATTGCGTCTGCTTCCAGTTCTCCGACGATTCCGCAACTGTCTGCTGCGACATTCTCGCGTTTGATTTGAAGGTAATTGGCAAAAAGATCAAAATTTTGGCTTGGAATTTCATCCCCCGCGGTAGTAACAGTGGTTTCCTGGAGATTATTCGATGGGATTTTCTAGAATCTTCTTCGTTCTCAGACACCTTTAGTCTTTTCTCTGGTTCTATTACGAATTCTGCTGATTCGGAGAGAGCCAGGCATTTTATCGCCGGAACCGTAGAAGCTGTCAGCCCTGTTTCGTCTGTGTCCTGTGCAGGTTCATCTACAGGTGAGAGCAGTGGCATGAAGAGTCTTCGTGGGTTTCTTGCAGAAATGTTAATCTGTGAGTGCAAATTGTGCAGGCTTACGTGTTCAACAGTTAGATTGCGAAATTCAAACGAACTTTCTAGTGGTCATTCCTTCAACAAGCCTATTATCGTTTACTTTTGCGGGCCTGCTTTGATTTGGCATCCCGTGATGACAATATTGGTTGGAAGATTTGTCTCTTTATCGGGATTGAAGAAGAAAATGGTCACAATAGGGAAAGAGATATGCCAGATGATGTATGTGACCGTGGAAAAATCTTTGATGCATATTTCTAACTCGCCGGATCAATTTATAAGAGTTCAGAAGTCTAAGATGAGAGGGAATGGCGAATGTGGTAGTTATACTGGGATTGTCACAGCTATTTACATGCAGGGATTGATTGTTGAGTTGGACGGACAAGCAATGCTATTGTTAACCGATCGTGATATCATTTTGCCTCATAGCTTGAGAGTTGGTGCTGTTGTAAGTAGATGATCAATATTTGTTGACTTATTCTGTCTGTATGACTCCATCAAGTGAAGTTTTTTTTCTTTACTTTGCTTCGCAAATGTTAAATGAATATGGACTCTCCGACTAGATAAATATATTTTTACGTGTTGTTTTCTGTCTAGGTATCTTTAAAAAATGTTCACTTTGTGAATCCGAGATTCTCTTGGTCAAAGTTTCTTATTCTAGGATCTTGCATTAAGACAAGTGTGTGTGTGAAATCGTTCTCATTGTTAGAAACCGGGTGAGTTAATTGAACCTGTTGAAATCCAATATTTCTATTTCAATATCTGAAAAAGCATTACATTCATGCATGCTGCAATTTATACCATACAGATGTTATATCAAACCCCAACATCAGAGTCTTTTGAGGAAGTTCATTGATTCTCTGACCTTCATTGCTAGGCTATGGTAAACAAAAGAACTCTTTTTTAACTCATGACATTATTTTTACATTTTGCGCCCTCATTCTCGATTGCTATGCTATATTTGCTCCAGGGTATTGCTTGTCATTGCGAGTTTTAAGAGAAAGTTCAGTGGGATCTTATCAATAAAGGAGATATTGGGTTCGAAAAATGTAAGGTTTATTTTTGAAACCACATTCAGAAGGATGAATGTCTGCTTCAACCCAAAGCCTTTTTCCTCATGTTTTCTTTCCCGAGAATTCCTCTTATCTAATCTGAACTTTTGCAAGGTGCCAGAAGAAAGGACTAGCTCAGCTTTATGCAACCTCACATTTACCTAAGTCAGTTTTCTTATCTCTGGTAAATATGTGAGTTATCTTATTGGTTCATTCCCCTCATCTTTACTTGATAACAACTTTATTTATATTTAACAGCATGGGCCATTTTGGGAATTCTGCAAGCATGACAGATGTGCATGCGGCAGTGAAGTAAATTGCTGCCAGTCCAGTTTAGTAAGTATGGGGTTGGACTTCTCATGTCACATTAACTTTGATAAGTCCAAAACCATAGAATTAGCTCAGTTGCCTAACATTTTTTTTATTAAATCATTTCAGGTCGTACCATTTTCTAACTTAAATAATTATTGCGAGTCAATTTGGATTAAAGAGCTGTTAGATCCAAAGAGAGTTCATATCATGGGTCTTAAAGACCAGTATAAGTCTATTTCTTGTGGGAGCAGTGATCATGCACAATTGATTGGGATAGTTGTGCACAGTGAAGAAATAAACATTGCTTTGGTTGGACACCTAAAGGTCAGAATATCATCTAAAACATGTTCTTATTGTGTGAAGAATAATGGCAGGGACTTGGCTTGTTGTTTGCCATTTTTATTAAGCATCATAATATGCTTCATCCAGATTTCTTCATCTTCTGGAAGGTTGCAAATAGTTGATGCAACTGGCAGCATTGACGTCGCACCAGACTTTTCGTTGAATTGGAATTTCGAGAGTATATATGAGGTGGGTGTGTGTATTATGTTATTTTCATTTATTTCCGATCTTGGAAATTAAGTCATAAAAGAAACGATACATCAAGAAAATTAATTTCTTACTTTAAAGATATCCAAGTTTCTGTATTTCAGGTAAAACGATTCACTCTAAGTATGCAAGGCTTACCTGAAAAGATGGATCATTTCAATTTACTCAAAACCGAACCTTTTGCATGCCGAAGTATTTTCGCAAGTGGCCCACTGTTAAGAAAAATTAATATGTCCCTCCATCTTGCCTATAATGTGGCAGACAAAGAATCCATAGACCCTCCATTTTCAGCACATGTCAAAATGAAGGAGACCCTTCAAGAGATTGAAAGGGGGCAGTTCCATCTGCTATGGATAAAGCATAAATTTCCCATCATGCAAAAGGTAAGTGGCATAGTAGTGAGGTATGCTGTTTTTGAATTCTATATTTTATCACAAATCTTTATGTTTTTCAGTATCAATGCCATCGTGGTATTTCAAGTAAGTCGAGTGTGTTTGCTGAGGCTCTAGTTATACCTTGGGATCTGCTTATTCCTGAGAGTGATGAAGATACACCCACTGTGCCTTTTTCTGACCTATTGAGAGATTCTATGGAATACCAAAGTGAAATTTTACCTCCATTCAAAAAGAGAAAAATTGGCCATGCATCAAGTAGGTCATTGTGCTTACAATAAAAGCATGACAATTAATTATATTCCTGATCATACTTTGGTTCATGAAATTTTTGCAGTGCGAAACCATTATAATTTTAAGTACCCATCGGAAGTTCTCTGTCTTGTTACCGGTAGAAGAGACAATTCACATTGCATTGGCAAGCTGCAATGCCATAATGCTGGCGCGAGTTTTGGCTGTTCTGAACCTGAAATGAGAAAGATATTGTTCGAATTCACATTTGAAGCCTTTTCAGTGTATGAGGTCTGTGTTTTCTAATCTCTTCGTACCATCTACTAAATATAGTTTCCCCAAACACATTTTTCATGGTTCTCACTAGTTGAAATACTTATTTTCAAATTTCACCGGCATCACTCCAAACTCGCCACGCCACTGCAAATGCACTGCTTTCGCTTCTATTCCAAATGAACCCCTGAGTCTAAGTGTCTAACTGAGAAATTAGAACTTATTGCATAATCAAAGTCAATTCCAGTATATTTTTTTTACAAAAAAAAAAAACTCTTTACGAAGCTACACTTTTTGGAAGTACAGGCCCTGAGAATCGGTTGTTACTACATCATAAGTCACAACAAGGCAGATGTGTTGTGTGCATCAGGAAATGGCAGTAAAGTTCTTTTGAATTCCAGAATTCATATTTGGAGCCTTTCATTTTCAGTTGCCGAGATATCCCCTGAAGAAAGCTACCCGCAACATGAAACACAATCTGACGTTAACTTGTTTCTGTCTCCTGACTTCATAAGCCTCCTGGAAGACAATTTGAAGCTGCCCAATGCAACTCTGAAGAATCCCATTGTTGCATATGAAGAAGAAACTGAGAGAAAAAACTGCAACGAGGCCTCGATCACTTCTTTAGCACTACCCAGTGGCACAAGATATGTTGGTCACCGTTTACCCGAAGGAAATCTCATATCTTTATGCGGATGGGTATGTGATGTTCATCATTTAGATGAGAAATCACGTGTACCACTAAGGGGTGGTGCCCATGGCGGAGCTCTTCATTCGGTGTTATTTGAAGAAACATGCATCTGTGTCCATCTTATGGTGCACCAGAAGATGGTATGATATTTCTGTCCATATATTTATGTTTGTCATTTTTACCAAAACCAGACATATTAAGTTAATTTAATTGACCGGACAGGTCAAAATTTATGGTGCCATACATAAGAGCGCTTACCCAGCTGTATTTGGAAGAGGCGTGACTGCAACATTTCACCGTATCCTTGTACTCAGGCATGCATGCAACTCTCCTTTCTTCAACTAAATTTCTTGCAACTCATGATTTATGGCATGCCTAATATGAATACTTTGAACTACATATGTTCTTGTTTGTGTAGTGGGCATGATAGTTTCATGATGATACCTTCATCTTTCATCAGTGTGCTCTCTGGAAGCAACAGTTATGATGCACCTGGTGCTATTGTCAGCCATTATGTTCCTGCTTCTGGAGGCTCGCGGAGTTTGGATCCATCCAGTGATGTGCGTAAAGCTCTGATTTCCGAAACAACACATTGCTCAAAGAGTGAACCATTGCTGTTCCGTTGCAGGGTAAAATTGCCACTTTTCAACACTTTAATAGTCTTCTTCATCCTTGTGGATGGACATCACACATTTTCTCATGACTACAGGTTGTATCTGTTTATGTCCTCATCATGGAAAACCAGGACGATTACTTCTTTTCGCGTAAAATCAAGTCATTTCATGTTAACATTCCACTCGCCGGGTTTGTCATAGGTAGGAGGACCAGAGAAAGACAGAAAGAAAAAAGAATCATTTTCAGTTTGAATATTTTCCAGCTATGTTTCGAAATGCTTCTTTTTCTGCAGATGATGGTTCGTCTTCTTGCTGCTGCTGGGCAAATGGTGACCGCGCAGCGGCTTTGCTTGGACTGTTGCATCCCAAAGCTCATCTGAAGGAGGTGATAGAGCGGCACCATGGGAGAGTGGTGGTGAAAAACCACGGATCCACACTTGATCCTTCGGCTCAGGAGCTGATGATCACCGGCAAAGACATGATCTCCTCATCATCATCATCATCATCAGATGAAGAACTCCTGAGGATGATGATTCTGAATGCTTGTTCCAGTAAATCTTGGAACGTGGTCGCGAGGGCGATGGATTCGGAAGGGTCAGAGGAACTGGAGAAACAACTGAGGGAAGTGGGTATGGTGTTGGTGCCCCAGATGAAGAATGTTTGGGCTTTTGGAGTTGATCAGGTAGAGGCTGCTGCTGAGGCAAGAAACATCATTAAAGGACTGCTACTACTACCACCACACCAAACTCATCCTTGACTTTACTTGACTGTGCCTGTTATGTCTCTTTTTTTTGTTCCTTGTAAATATTGCTTCAATCAAATGTTTCACGTTTGACTGGATACGGAGATTAAGAAAAATAACATTGTGTTGTTGGAAACGGTAAAGAAGACATGAAAATAATACGGAGTATGAGCCGCAAAAATCTTTCCATTAGTGAAAGGTGATACTTTTTTTGAAATGAACCAAAAAGATTTAAAAAATATCTATTGAGTGGAGTGAGTGGTTATGATCACTCTCCTTGTCTCATAAAAAATTTTAAATTTTATTTTTAATACGTCTCAAAATAATTTTTAGTTTTTTTCCAGAAATGAATATAGCATTGGATATATTTCTCTACTTTTTAAACCACTCTTTGTTTGTTATTTTAGCAATTTTATTCTCTAACTAAGTGCCAAAATTAATTCAGAACCAATAAAATATGCAAAAACCTATCCTTAAAAGATGTCATGCAGATTTTTTTAGAAAGAGGAAAGAGAACCGGAACAAGCAATGAAGTTTCCCAAATGATAATTATTGCGAAAGATTTTCAATTTCAGAAAGCCAATGAAACAAAACAAAAAATATAAAACAGCTGTTTGAATAATATTCCATCTACATTAATTGATTAATTTAGAAAGGTCGTCACAAATCTCAGATAAATTTAGAAAGCAGCAATAATAAGTATCATCGGCATAATTAATTACTTAATTAATTAATTGATTAAACGGGCATCCTAATGAAAGCCAGTTGGCGGCCCGGAAAATGATGACGTCACGTACTCCCTCACTTCCTTAGCTATCACCTCCCTCATCACATCCCAAAATTCCGCCGGTAAACTCTCCGACCGCTTCTCCGGCACCACGCGTCCGCCCAATCCCGGCGGCGCCAGTGACAACGCTGTCATCGGATCATCATCGTACTCTCTCAGGTGGCCCAAAACTATGGGAAACACCTTGTTATTGTTATTGTTATTGTTATAACTGCCGGCGGAGGAGTAATTCACCCGTTGACCATCTCCGGCGTTGACATTAACGCACGCCGACGAGTTAACGCCGTCAGAGACCTCCGTCGAGCTAAACGTCTTATTGTGTCTCTGACTCAACTGCCGTTCGCATCTCCGTTTCAGCGTGGAGTTCCAGTGGTTCTTGACGGCATTGTCGGTCCGGCCAGGGAGCAACCGGGCAATGGTGGCCCACCGGTTCCCGTACTTCAAATGGGCCTCCATGATCGTCTCGTCCTCCGCCGGAGAAAAGGGGCGGTGCTCCACGGTGGGGCTGAGCTGGTTACACCACCGGAGCCGGCAAGACTTCCCGGACCGGCCCTTTATGTACTTGCTAATCAAGGACCAGTTTCTTGGGCCGTACCGGTCCACCAGCCGGGTAAGGATCTTGTCCTCCTCCGAACTCCACGGCCCTTTTATCCTCTCCAGCCTCTTCCGGCCGTCTCGAGCCACCTTGCCGCCGCCGGCAGATAAAGATGACTCCGACGAGGATGACTCGGAGGATGTCGTCGATGTCGACGAGTTCCTGTTAATTATTCGTGCTTCCATGTAATAAATATAAGTAAATCAAACTAATTAATTATAACCAGCCAATGATCCGCTGATTAGAAAATTAAAACACACACACACATACAAACCAATTCAAGAACAAATATATAACAATTGGGATAATAACTTTCATAAAAATAAAATTGTGAACTCTCTATTATCAAATTATTGAGAGAATATAATGAATTTTGGATTCAACAATTGTGTTTCTTTGTTGGGTCGGTTTAAATGAAATGAACGAAGGAATGGTGGAGATGGGATCTTATATAATATATACATATATATATATATATATATATATATATATATATATATATATATATATATGCGCACACGGATATGAGAGAGAGAGAGAGAGAGAAGTTAAAAAAGGTGGTCTGATCCAAAACAGAGGTTCGTAACTTTGTATAGGTACAATGTTGCAAGTACAATGTTGCAAATAATTCCTTATTACTCACTCCTCCCCAAAATGTTTTTTTCATTTGATTTTTTACTATCTCTAAGATTGTACTTTGACCACTAATATCTTTATATATATATATATATATAAAATTTATATAATTTATAGAAATTTGATATTTAAAAACTATATTAAAAAATGAATATATTCATATTAAAGTTATATCGTAATACAATGTATTTTTTCCACATATCATAGTCAGAGTTTACAAACTTTAACCAAAAAAAGTCAAATGAAAGAATATTTCCGGACGGAGAGTATAAAATAAAGTTCCACATTTAAATCCAGTTGGTCACTAGAAAAGTTAAATTTATATTTCATCCGTCCAATAGAAAAATCAAATTTGATAAAAATTGATATGCGTAAATTCCATAGATGGTTGATTGTCTTATAACATGTCATTTTTCGAATATAATCTTCGAAAATTACAATTAAGGTCGATGTTTGTTTTTTATTCAAAATAAGTCGTTAGACCCAAAAATTGATTTTTGCATATAGTCTTCAAATACTCCCTCCGTCCACAAATAAACTTTACGTTCACTATTCACATGGTCAAACTTTATTCAATTTGTTGGCCTATTTTCGTCACCCATTTGATAAAATAATATAGTCATGTCACCTCTAGTTTTGTAGATCTTTTGATATAGTTTTTTAATATGTAATTTTTATTTTTCAATTCTACACCATTTTTCATATAAAATGATTTGAAAATAACTTTAGTCAAACATCGTAACGCACAATGTAAAGTTTATTTGTGGACGGATGGAGTATCAGATTGTGAAATAATTCTCAAATATCGAGTATCACGTAGGTAATTTCTTGAATTGAACTATATATGAAAAATAATCTATTATAAGAGACCTTTTATAAAACTTATTCAATTCATATTTAAGGCAAGGAATGTCACTCATTTGACTGTTATTTTTTCATTTTACACATGTTTCATAGTAGGGTCAAATAAGATACTCCTCCCGTTCCACAAAACTCTTCCTCTTTGGTTTTTTTTTGCTTTCCACAAAACACTTCCACTTTCTATTAAAAAACCACTTTTATCCATACTTTTTCATACCCTACCTATCACATCATAGTTTTTCACTAATAACCAAACTATCACATTTTACTTTTTCCATCACATCAGGAGCAAAATTGAAAAGTCAACCAAAATTACACTTTCCTTATTTCCCCCCAAAGTCAAAACCGGAAGGGTTTTGTGGAACGGAGGGAGTATTATAATAAGATTATTGAGTAAAAGCTTTTTGAGAATTGAAAAAATAAAAAAATAAATATTTTATGGGACAAATATATAGACAAGAAAAATGTCTAAGCTAAATTACCTTTTGCATTATCTATTTATACATGTCCATTGTAGCAGACAATAAATAAAAATCAATAAAATATTTGAAAAAGATGGAAGACCACGTTAGAAAAGTATTACTAGTATTTAGCTATATATACTACAATTATTTTGATATTTATACATTTAAATTTTAATATAAAATTATTTTATTTAATTAAAAATTATAAAAGTATATAATATTGAAGATAATGTTGAAGTTGATGTTAAAAGATGAATATTAAAAATACTATTGAGAGATTAACATAGCCTCTAACTTCTAAGTTATAACTTCTCCCTTAAAAATGTACTCCCTCCATCCCACAAAAAAGTTCTCATTTTGACCATAAATTGGTCAAACTGTTGCACACTTTGACCCTTAATTAAATATAATCTAAATAAAGAAATGCTAAAAAAAATTTGAGATATCAAAACTAGATCTTAAGATGATTTCAATTATATAAAATTTATTTCATAATTCAATATACCTTTCTCACAATTTGTAGTCAAAGCGTGTAAATATTTGACTAAATACTATTCAAAATGGAACTTTTTTGTGGGCGGAGGGAGTATAAAGAGGCAACACCTCTGAGGCTATGTTTGGAACTACTTTTGATAAGGTAAAAGAGTTGTGTTGTAATAATCTTAAAGTTTAGATGTAAAATATGAATATTAGCTTCTTACATTTTTATGGGCTGATACATGGATCATTTTTGTAAATAACTTAATTTTTTTACCCCTTCCGTCCATAAATTTATTTCTCATTTTGACTTGCCACGAAGATTAAGAAAAATTAAAAAGTGTAAGAACTTGTCATGTGATGAAATAAAGTAAATAGTATAGATAAAAAGTATGAATATAATGTCACATTTATTAAAAGTTTTTTTGTCAAAATAAGAAACGATTTTTTTTAAAGTCCAAAAGGAAAGTGATAAGAGAAATTAATAGACCAAGAGAGTATAACATTTAGGAAAATTTACTTAAATAACACTAAAACATAATAACTTTTTTAAATATCATCACATATGTTTTTCCCAATGTAGCAATTTTAGTCATTATTCAAGTAAATAGTCGCCATTACATGACATTATGGATATTATTAAGTATTATTTAGAAAATAAAATAATTTAAGTGTTATTTAGGAAAATAACTTAAACTTTAGTGTTATTTAGTGCAAATATTACTAATATCTATTTACAAAGGTTCATAAAATGAACGAAACATCTTTTAAGTTGTTGCACTTATAGACTTAAGTGTCGATAAAAAACAAGAATGGGAAGTTTGTCGTTGCATAGGTACGTTCTAGTGGAAGTGACGGTGCATTCTGAGAAAGTTCGTAAATTGCAAGGTTGGCATGCATTTTTCAACTTGTACTTGAGCTCGGAGATCCGGGAACCACTCCCTCCTTCTGTCCTATACTCTTCCCTCTCCGATACTTACTACAAAAACACCTGGTTCCGTGACATTGAAAACCAATGTCATGGGATGACTCGGGGGTGCTCCGGTGCCCTGTTCGTAAAATTGACGGTTCCTACCCCCTCTAACCCTCTCTGGTAAAACCCCCACCACGCCCCGACCCGAACACGCTCCCCAACCCCCTTTAATTGCACCCCCCAAGTCGATTAAATCAACTTGGGGGTGCAATTGAAGGGGGTGAGGGGCGTGTTCGGGTCGGGGTGGGGTGGGAGGGTTTTCCGGGGGATTAAGGGGTAGGAACCGTCAATTTTACGAACGGGGCACCGGAGCACCCCTAGGTCATCCCATGACCCAATGTCATGGGAACCGGCCTCCTACAAAAATATTCCAAAAAAAAAAGACGGAGTGGCGTTACACAGCTGGCAAAGAAAAGAGACTTAAAAGGGAATAGCCGAATTCGATTCCTGACAATCACGTTTGGAAGCACCAATACTAAACATAAAATCTCAACAAGTACGATGTGCATTCTCTACCCTTTGCTGAAAATTATCTTGAGATCTCATATTTTTACTAAAACCTCGCAGATTCTACATTACCAAAAATGTATTTTAAAATTGCTTAAAATTCATTTAGTTTATTTCGAACATGTATATGAATAATGTCGAGTGATGATGGACATTTACATGAATAATAATTGATGGATAATGATCAATGGTCCTATATTACAAAATAAAAAGATATGGTCCTATATTGATAAAATCATTATGTTTTAGTTATATTTAGGTAAATTCCCCGAAAGAGAACGTAAGTTTCATGTTATCAAAAATATACTCCAAAGGTGGTTGCATTAAGCTTTACGTTAAATGATACTCCCTCCGTCCACAAATAAACTTTACATTGCGCGTTACGATGTTTGACTGAAGTTATTTTCAAATCTTTTTATATGAAAAATGGTGTAGAATTGAAAAATAAAAATTACATATTAAAAAACTATACCAAAAATCTACAAAACTAGAGGTGACATGACTATATTATTTTATCAAATGAGTGACGAAAATAGGCCAACAAAGTAAATAAAGACCATGTGAATAGTGAACGTAAAGTTTATTTATGGACGTAGGAAGTAAATATTTTTAATATACCATGTAATTTTTTTTAACTATAGATTAAAGATTATTTTAGTTAATTGTAAAATGTTAAAATTAGACAAATACTCTATAAATAAGGAGTGCTAAGTTTTTTTAACATCTCGAAAAGGGAGTACGTAGAAATTACTTTTGAACAAAAGAGAATCACAATAAATAAAAGACGATCCTTATTTTTACAATTAAAAAAAATACAATTTTTTACAACAGTGTAATCGAAGCACCTATGATGCTCTATTCGTGAAATTGATTGTTCCTACTCCTCAACCCTACTGACAAACCCATCAACCCGTCCCATTCCTAAGCACCCTACACCACATCCAGTTACACAACTTTTCATTTTGTTGATTTTATGATCATTTCTTTTACCAAAATGAAAGGCGGTGCAAGAGTGCAGGGGTGTGCTATGAAGAGGACGGGCTGGGAGATTTACTGTGGGTTTAGAAGTTAGAAGAATCAATTTTACAAATAGAACATTGTATGTGCCTCGATTCTATTGTTGTAAGAATTGTTGTAATTTTTTATTGGAAAAATAAATGTCATCTTTATAAAATACTTAAGTAAATAACTCAAGATGCTGCATCCGTACGTCTAGTTGGGTATTTTCAAATACTTTAGTTCCATGAGCACAAAGTTATCGAAAGAATATGTTATGAGAGCTTATTTCGGGAAAAGGTAACTATTAAGTATTAACCACCAAATTCTTTCCATCATTAAAAGAATATACTCCTACGGAGTATAATCTTTTTTGAACACTCATTAAAAAAAAAATTAAATTATACTTATATTATACTTAATATGTTTTTATAAGAAAGTTACCCCATAGATCTTTATAAGAATTTAGATTAAAATGTAGTTATTTCTACACAAAGTTAGGAGTGTAACCCAAATTGTACATAACAGGGTGTGTACTGATATTTTGATAATTCACAATGACATAAAATACTAGTATGAAATTTTATTGAACATACTAATATTTGGTATCAATGTCAATTATGTATCAAAGTGTATTGTGACAACTTGAGATACATTCTTTGAATATACACATAGCATGACTGAAGAATTTAATAAAATGATGAGGTGAGATAGGATAGTACAAAAGTTCAGCATTATTGCTACTGAAAAAAGAGAGCTTCAAGCCTTCAATTGGATCCCACGCACATAATTCATCTTTTATTGAACAAAGTTGGTAACCATAAACGCTGAACTATGTCGAGAATGACATTAGTGGGAGATTTAATAAGAGAAATCTGTCAAAATAGAACTAAAACATAATAAATTTTTTAATATATAATTATATGTTTTTATTTCCCAATATAGAATTATTGGTCATTATTCATTAGTCATTATTCAAGTAAATATCAACTATCACTGGACATTATTCATCCCACTAAACATTATTAAGTTCTATTTAAGGAATAAAAAAGTTTAAGTCATACATTAGAAAATAATCTATGTTTTAGTCTTATTTAGTGCAAATTTATATTTTAATAATCAATAAAGAAATTTTCTTAGATAGAAGTAAAAAAAAGTATTAAAATATCAAAATAGAAGTAAGTCTTAAAGCATTTAAGATCAAAATTAGAATATAATGACATTGTGGTGTAAGAAATTATGTTGGCAGCTTGATGGGAAAATGATAAAAATGTACGTAATATGTTAGTGTGATCAGTCAACTGTCGGTGATTCGCGGCAGCACTCTGGTGGCCGGCTACGACGGATTGACATTGTAGCAGTGGTAGTATGACAATTACAATGTGACAGTGTAGTGTGTGTGATAGTGTAACAATGACAATGTAAACTCTGATCTTATACTGGTCTTAAAAGACTTATTACTCGTATTTTGATATTTTCATAGTTTTTTTTTCTGTTATTTCTATAACTCTATTTAGAGAGTTCTCCCAAAAATGTAAAAAAATACAATTGGTATGTGTAACATTCACATGTTGGGCTCTAAGGTGACGTTTTCATCCGGCATTAAAAAGCGGTGGTAATAGATCTATAGACGGACGGTTGTGGTTGGCTAGAATTCTTTTTCTTAGTAGAAGGAATTAGAATCAAAGGAGGGACAAGTGGGGGTGACGCCGCCATCGCCAGACATTCCGTAATTGATAAAAGCATAAGACTAGAATATATCATGTTCATTTTAAATAACTAAAAAATGTACTCTTGAATTGTCATATGTGGTGCAGATTTCTTGTTCAAATGCAATACTTACCGGAAATGTAAGATTGTTCTAAAAGCAATAAATGTAGGTATATGGAAAACAATTTAATATTTTTAGATAAGGTAATGCATCAAATTAATAACCTCTTTTGAAGAATCAAGACCAAAATTTCTATTGTATGTCACCAAGTTCTCTAGTTTTAAGCACCATCCTTAATTGACTTCAAATTATTTTTATTTCACATACAATTCTAGTTATATAATGGCATTATAGAAGATTCAAATTCCGTCACATTATTGAAAGAATTATTTGGAAAGAAATTCTCTATATTTCTCTCTTGTGAAACTTATTCTAAATACAAAGATTTAACCCTCTTTATATAGAAAGAGGGTAAAGTAAACAGGGAAATTTCTATTCCTACTAAAATAAGAATTAAACAAACTAGGAAAGATACTAAATACTAAACCTAATCTAACTAGGAAAGATACTAAACCTAATCCCAAAGGGATTCGGTTTCCTTCTTCAATCCCGCTTCCTTCTTCTGTCTCTAATACTTTCCTTCTTCCATCCTGCTTCCTTCTTCTATCTCTAACACCCCTCCTCAAGCTGGAGCATGGGAGTTCAACATGCACAGCTTGGACATAAAAAAACGTTCCCTCGATTCGCGCATCTGCGTAAGCTTCTCCGGCAGGTCCCACGTGAAATTCCTACACGTACAAATTGGGAATTGCTCCAAACCTGCAAGAAACGTTTCCTCGGTTCGCGCATCTGCGCTAGCTTCTCCGGCAGGTCCCACGTGCAATTCATACACGTACAAATTGGAAACTGCTCAAAACCTGCAAGAAACGTTCCCTCGGTTCGCGCATCTGTGCAAGCTTCTCCGGCAGGTCCCACGTGCAATTCCTACACGTACAAATTGGGAACTACTCCAAACCTGCAAGATCGTCCCACAAGCTTCTCCGGCAGGTCCCACGTGCAATTCCTACACGTACTAATTGGGAACTGCTCCAAACCTGCAAGATCGTCCTACAACCTCTTCATCTTCCCATAATATTCCATTATGGTGAGATTCTTGTGTTGGCATTCCGCCAAATCCCGCTTCAACTGCTGAACCCTCAGTCCATTAACCACAGAGAAGCGGGCCTTCAAATCATTCTATAGATCTGAAGCTTTTTCCACATACGATATGCTGGATCTCAAGGCTGGATCAATCGTGTTCCGAATCCAAGAGACCAACAACAGGAGACTGCCGACGGGACGGTCGATGTGCTCGACCGTTCTAAAGCAACGGTCGACCGTTCCGCTATCCGGCAGCAGCAGCGAACAACGGAAACTGCCGTCGGGACGGTCGACCCACTCGACCGTTCTTTAGAAACGGTCGACCGTTCCGGCACTTCGGTAGCAGCAGCGGGCGACGAAACTGAGCAACGATCGATGGACGCGATGTCGGGCGATCGTGAACAGTAGCCGCAAAAATTTCTAGGTTTCATAATATTATTTAGTGAGGAAGAACAATCAAATAAAATCAAAAATTACAATATCCCGCCGATAGGCATTGAATTGAATATGCCCACCGACAGGGGAAGAAGCGTGTTTGAGGTCTTAAGAATTCAAAACTGGCTCCGATACCATGAAAGAATTATTTGGGAGGAAATTCTCTGTATTTCTCTCTTGTGAAACTTATTCTAAATACAAAGATCTAACCCTTTTTAAATAGGAAGTGGGTAAAGTAAACAAGGAAATTTCTATTCCTACTAAAATAAGAATTAAACAAACTAAGAAAGATACTAAATACTAAACTTAATCCAACTAGGAAAGATACTAAACCTAATCCCAAAGAGATTCGGTTTCCTTCTTCAATCTCGCTTCCTTCTTCTGTCTCTAACACTTTCCTTCTTCCATCCTGCTTCCTTCTTCTATCTCTAACAATTATATTTTTCAGATAAATTCACAGGATCTTGGAAGTTTTCTATAAGTCTTTAATGACATTATCTTTTGTCGACTTTTAGAAATCGCTTTGACAACAAATTAAAAATGTGATTCGAATAAACGATCGATTATCCCCAAAACAATATTAAAAATTCCAAATTTGTGTATGACTAAAGATTGCTTGAATCAAATTTTATTGATAAAAAGAATAAACAACCCAAACACACAGACACACATGTATTTGCGTATTACTCCCTCTGTAGAAAATATATTTAGAACTAAACTTGAATGATTTGATTATACATAGATCCGCTATTTATAATAGCTACAAGACTATGATCTAATTACGAGCCCAACAAGAATGAGCTCGTTAATGACAAACCCTACTACATTCCTTAACACTCCCCCTCAAGTTGAGCATGAGATTAAGGAATGCACAACTTGGACAATTAAAACAAAACTAAGACTAGAAAAATTGATAAAGAACTTGAACTTGATCTGCTGTGACAACAACGAACGAAGGTGACCGGCCCTGCAAACGAACAATAAATTTTGATGACGAATGACTCCCACGCGGTGACACGGGGACGACTAACAAGCATCCCAAACTTGGAGGCCGTGTTGCCGGACTGAGGCGCGACTATGCGACCAACCTCACAAACTGATATGTCGAACTGAGGCGCGACTATGCGACCAACCTCACAAACAAACATGTCGAACATACAGCTGGTTGCACTTGAACATATGAAATAGCAACCAAAAACAATGTCATCAAAACATCAACAAAATAGCTCGGTCCAAATACGAAAATCTTCTTCCGTGGAGTACGAGCAAACCAATCCATTAATCACTATAGAACTAGTAACGAATTGCAGAGCCAAATTAATCCCAACAGCAACGTCGGCCCAAATTTGCAAGGAAAAAGAAAACCAGAATTCCACAATTTTTGGAATTGCAATTGCCGACCAATTAATAGCAACAATCCACAACCAAGATTGCCGACCAAAAGGAAGACTTATCGCCGACCAACAACATCAATTGACCAAAATCTCCGACCAACAGAGAAGACGTCTGATGATCGCCGAAGAAACTCCAACCTTCGTTGAGGAGAAGAAAACCGATCGCCGGTCAGGCAAGACGCCGGACGATCGCAGAGACTCGCTGGCGACGGACGGATTCCTTGATCGGACGAACAGATCGAAACCTCTATCGTCAACAACAGAAGTACAATGACCGGTAATGGAAATTGATGGTGATGCCGATGATGATGCCGCTGAGCGACGGCGGCGGCGGAAGCGCGACAAACTAGAACAAACTAGGGTTTAGGTTCCCCGGTTGGCTCCGATACCATGTAGAAAATATATTTAGAACTAAACTTGAATGATTTGATTATACATAGATCCGCTATTTATAATAGCTACAAGACTATGACCTAATTACGAGCCCAACAAGAATGAGCCCGTTAACGGCAAACCCTACTACATTCCTTAACACCCTCCGCCCCATAAAGATGGGTACGTTTTGACTAAAGTAGAAATTAAGGGAGGGATAATTTTGTGTTGACTTTCCAAAAATACCCTTGATGTGATGGGTAAAAGTATGATGTGACGTGTAGATTATTAGGAAAAAAGTATGATGTGATAGGTAGGGTTTGAAAAAGTAATGGGTAAAAGTGATTTTTTAATAGAAATGAGTAAAAGATTGTGAAACACAATTTTTTTAAAACGTGTAAATCTTTTTGGGACGGATGGAGTATAAAATTTTGGGGCACGGAAGTTTTGGAAGAACAAAATAATGTTGCTTGGCCCTAAAGACGCCATAGTGCAAACCAGAATTTAGACAATAGAAAGGGGGTGATTATGAGAATTCAAAACAAATGAATGCGAATGAAGCTAAAAGTTCGTGCAATTGGAAGACGTTAAATGAAGGGTTCGTTTGCTACATGTAATTGACGGAATTAACATTGAACTTAGAGTTAAAACTATGGAATTGAATACTCTAATTCCAATTCAATTTTGGCATTACCAATTCCAAATCCACATATTTTTGCGCTACCAAATAGTAGAATTTGAACAATGATTCTCAGTTTTAATTTCGTAGATTCAATTCCGTGTACCAAACGGAGGCTAAAAGTAAATAGGGAGGGGAGTGTGATGTTTGGCAAGGTAGGACCCAATTTGTGTGACATATTTAGAAGAACAAAATAAAATGGATTTTAAAAGTGTGGAAGTGGAGGAGTAGATCACACTACTTTCAAAAGTGATTTGAAGTTTCATGGGCGCACTAAAAGAGTAAAAGTTCTGAATTGATTACATTTGTGCGCGCACATCAATTTTGGAACACTATTCGCTTATTTTTGTTAGTCCGATCCAAACGATATGTTGTTATGAGTTCACGTTTCATGTTGTATATATGCTCTCGTTATCCCAAACGAGGGTTTACAACTATTCCATCATCCCTTAAAATTAACTTCTCACTTTGATTTTTGTAGTCAAAATTTTTAAACTTTGACCGTATAATACGAAAAAATACATTAAATTTTCATATAAATTTATTAGCAGTGGATTCATTTTGAAACATAGTTTTAAAATATATAATTTTTTTAAAATATATTTATATAAAATTTGAGATATTAATGGTCAAAGTTTCGCATTGAAAACCCTGAAAAGTCAAATGAGAAGTTTGAATGTCAACTATTCTTCATGTGAGTAACTATTTCAGAGAGAGTGGATTGGATCCTTGACCTGGTCAATAGTTGGTTTATGCATATCAATTTCATTAATGATTTATCAAATTAATCTATTCTCCCGGTCACAAATTAAATTGTCTCATTTGTCTGTTTACTATTCACAGATCGAAGAAACTTTATTTAATTTCTTTATCTTTTTTCATTATTTATGTGACATATAATAGTATTGTCACCTCTTACTTTGTAAAACATACCTTTTAAGATAATTTTTAAATTGAATTTAAAATAATTTTAGTCGTCGCGCATCATAAATTAAAATAAGCAATTTAGGTTGGGTCAGAGGGAGTAGTGAAACAATCTCGGGTTTTACATACTCTGTAAAATATTGATATAGAAAACACCATAAATAAAGCTAAAACATAGAAAAAAGTATCAAAATAAGATTTTTCATGTTTTTATTCTCGAAATAGGAGTTCGAACTGGAGTAATGTGGAGATGATGTGACACTCTGCACGTGCATATTAATACACTAAATGTACATGACCATGTTTGGTAATGTAAATACATTTTAACTCTTATTTTAGGAATAAAAACATGGAAGTCCTATTTTGACATATTTTCAATGTTTTACTCCTTCTCTAGTCTTTTTCTCATTTTGATATTGTTTTAAATATATAAATTCTGTTTTAAATTTTATACAAATACTTAAATTTATCAAACTTAAAATACTTTTAATTTTCCTTATACTCCCTTAGTTTCTAAAAGATTATCACAGTTTAACTTTTTTGGTCAAACAATGAGACTATTTGACCGTAAATTGTGGAAAACAATGGGACTATTTTACATTATAATTGTTTAATTTACAGTTATAATGTAAATTTAATAAAACTGGATGTATTTTAAAATATAGTTTTAAATTTTCAATTTTTTGTAATATTTAATTATTTTAAACTATATTACTTTATGGTCATAGAGTGCCACAATTTGACCCAAAAAATCAAATTGTGGCCATCTTTTAGAGATGAATGGAGTACTTTTTTTCTTTTTTTACTAACCAAACACTAAAATTTGTTTTACATATCATTTTTTTAACAAATTCATTGAACAAAATACATATCGTCTAAACTATAGAAAAGTGAAATTTTTTTCTAAACGTACGAAAACAAAGAAAGAAAAAAATGAGCCTCATTCTCGAGGGCTGCCTCAGACCCAGTCGCCGGACTGTCAATGAGAGGAGGTAAATTGGACTTTAATCGCAGATTGGTGGCAAAGAATGAAGCATATACTTGATACTTGCAGAGGCTCTATGCTTAGCATAGTTGCCTCTCAGCGCAGTTGCCAGGAATCGAACTCGACTCTTACCCTTAATGTTTTGTGAGAGGAAACATATACTCCTTCTATATATCTCTGAGTGTCTGTCCATTTTTGTCATTTTTCTATCAACTAAGATCTACATTTGACCTATAATTAAAGAAAAATTAAATCTTATGTTAATTAGATAAAACAATATTTTAAAAATATTTTACAAGATAAATATAATTAAATTATTCATTTATCAATTTAATACTCCGGATCCGTTTAATTAATGTCCAGAGTTTGTTTATTTGGAATGTAAAAAAAACTCAAACTAAAATTGGAAAAATACTTCGGGACGGGTGTAATATTATTTTTAGAGCGATTCTATGATGGACCTAAGGTGGTCCACATAGACTTTCTCACATATTTTTTTATTAATTTTAAAAAAATATTATTTCAACATTTGAAAATACTTAATTAACATATATGAAGGTCGTCTACCATATATTTAACGTACATGTAACAATTTTCATTATTTTTATTAAGGGTCATGCTAGGGTGCCTTCAAATGGTTGCTATCATGGGTGCACCAAGCTTCGCACAAATGATTATCATCATCTATGTCGCACAATGAAGTTTGTGTGCACCAATGATAGCAACCATTTTGAGGCACCCTAGTATTTCCTGTCCTATTTTTAGATGGATAACACAGTGCATTGAACTGGGTCTGTCCATGTCTTGTAATCTTATGTGTGTGTACAAAATATATGTTTTTATATATAATGAGAATTGGGTGTATGTATGTATGTAGGGGTAGTGTACTTAGTTCACCAATAATTCAATCAATGTCCAATGGTTACTTGCAACATATTTTGTCCCCTAGTGTTTGAGATTCATAAATAAATGCAACCGTGGATTTCTCACCATATACTAAATCATTTTGTGTAGTTCGCATGTACATTAGCCGTACCTTTGTGGGCTCCCACTCTCACCACTTACGTCATTATTAATTTAATTGCAAATTGGATGAGAACAAAAATATGTGGCCGGTCGTGAGGTGCATTTTTTTTATAGGCATGTCCGGCCTGCCGGTTCTCTTCATTCCTTTGGTCTGCTCTAATTAATTAATGGTTTGTTTCACATTTTTCATTTCCATTTTAAATTGCTTGGAGGTTCTAATTTTTCTCAATGTATTAATAGAGAATACAAGTTGAGAGTAATCTGTTGTAACAGTTTGTCGAACTAGACAAATATATTCGGATGGAGAAAATATTTGTGAATGCAAAAAAAATTTAGATTTAAATTTAGAACAAATTCTCTCATTTCCAATAGATTCAATTACTTTACAAATCATATATACATTTTCCTTTGTAAGTTCAAATCTAATTATTCAAATTTAAAATTAAAATCCAAGAATCAAATGATTTTTTTTTGTTTTCAAACCCCACCTAAGATTCTTTTTGTGGTAATGATAATAAGAAAAATGATAAATCTCATCCTCCCTGGGGTCAAATCTACTATTGTCGTATAAGAAAAGATAAACAAAAATGTAATCTTAATGTAACAAATAAGAATAAATTAAAACTAGGATAATCCAAGATTTTGAGGTTATGGTTACACCAAATTTTGTTGAGACACACACAGATAATAATTGTTTGTGCGTATCTATGCAAATATAAGGGTAATAGTAATTCTAAGAT